AAGATTACTAAATGAGGAGTTAAAAAAAGATTTTGAACCTTGTCAAGGGCAGCTAGAATGCAGACAAGGAAAGATATCTCAATCTCCACAAGAGAAGAAAGAATAGAAAAAGTGATGGCGCTAGAAAAAATGAAAAAAAAAGACTGCTTTAATTAGATATGACCCATTATTTGTACTTGGAAGCTGCTTCTAAACTTTGTGCTCGAGATAGGAAAAAATGAACTCTCGATGCTTGATTTTGCTTCTTAGGCTAATTTGTTTTTATAGACATGGCTAATAATGACTAGATATGCAAAAATAAAAAGTTGAGGCTGTAATTTTATTTTGCATTTTACTGTGCAGAAAAAAAGATGTTTTCTTTCCCTTTATCCTACACTTCTATCCCGTTCTTATCCTTCTCCATTTCACTTATTTCTTTATCTTCATTTGTACTTTTCACTATTATATTTTTGATTAAATTTATGGAAAAAAAAGGAAAGAGTCAAAAAGAGTATTCTGTGGAGGAGCTAAAGTATGCAGAGTGGAGCAATAAAGACGATAAGGGCTCTGGAGGCCAAACCGTTCAATGAATTTGGTATGCTTAGCCTAACCAAGGGAAGGCTTAGGGGAGACACGACAGCCACCTTCCAAGACTTGAAGGGCTCCCATAGGGAAAAGGGCATGGATTTACTCTCCATAGCACCTGAGGGAATAACAAGAAGCAAGCCTCCCTGAGTTCTGGGTTATACATCACTGGAGGCTTTCAATAACAGTTTGGACAACCATTTTTTCAAGATGGAATAAGGACTCCTGCCTTGGGCAGAGGATTGGACTAGCAGACCTCCAAGGTCCCTTCCAGCCCAAGGATTCTATGATCTCCACTTCCTGTCCTGACCTGTAAGAGTTGGCTGGTTGGCTGCTGAAGCTTCTCTTCTATCTCCTGGATGAGATGGTCAAGAGAGCTCAGATCCTCCATGTGCTTGGCCAAACCCTTCTCCTTTCTTGCCATAATAGCCTCCTCCGTCTCTTCCATTCTAGCCAGCAGAAGCTTCTCCTGTCCTTCCAACCAGAGTTGTAGTTCTCTGAATTCAGCCACTATATTTTTTTTGACTTTTTCAATGTGATCCTGGAACAAGAAAGGCATACTTTTATTTTAATTATTTTACTTAATTATTTTTATTTTAACTGCTATAATAATTAAAAGGATTCCCTTCCAGAACTGAGGTGGGAGAATTTCTTAAGGAGAAAAATAACCCTTTTGATATAAAAAGGGGCAGAGGGGAAGGTTTCTAAAAAGAAAAAGGTTTCGGTTTAAATGATCTCTCATGAAAATTTTCTTGGCAATCAGGGATTCCAAAAAGGGAGACAGAAAAATGTTTGAGTTCACAATTTTTTTCAATAAGATGAAATACAGTTTGCATTTATTATGTCAACCAAACCCATTGTAGAAAAGACGGCTCATGGGATAGCTGCATTTAACCGAACTGTGACTCATTCAGGCAATGGTGAAATCTCAGTCCCCAGGTTAAGAACAAGTTCTGTGTCCTAATACTGTCTTTAGCTTGAATTTCCTTTAAGTCAGAACTTGTACTTGCAAACAGGCTGCCTATTATCCAAGATGGCGGATGGGGTTCTCCTTCCTATTAGCTCAGAAGCTCCTCAGCATTGGATCAATACTTACAAGCATCTCCTGCACTCTTTGCTCTGTGTCTCTTTTGTAAGTAGCTATTTTTTCTTTCTGCTCCTTCTGAGCCTTCAGACAATCCTCCACCTTGATCTGAAGAGAAAATACAACTTTTGAGTTCCGTAAAGAATTACATTGGAGGGAAGACCCAGTTAGATGATAGATGCAATCCTCATAAATACATGGCAGTTGCCAAGCGTCCGAATTTTGATCATGTGACCACAGGGATGCTTGCAATGATCACAAGGGTGAAAAATCTTATGACACTTTTTCCGTTGTCGTTGTAACTTCGAATCAACACTAAACGAATGGTTCTAAGTCCAAGGACTACCTGCAATGACATTAAATGGAGCTGCCTGAGTCTCCTATTTGCAGTCATCCCAGAAGCATCACTGACAAATGAAAGTTTGGGCTGATCCAGCAGGAGTGTTTTTCAGAGTCTGCACTCAAGATTTTGGAGGACTCCATGATAATTTGGCTCAAGAGCAAATGTGGAAAGGGAGCTGGCAAAGGGTGCCTATTTCTCCCTACAGGCAATTTCCTTTGCTAAGCAAGACAGGGACACTGCAACCATCATTAATACTTGCCATTTGCCAATCACCCCAATTTTGATGAGTGACCACAGAGAGGCTACAATGGTCATAAGTGTGAAAACAGTTGTAAGTCACTTTTTTCAATGGTGTTCCAACTTTGAACAGTCAGAAATTGAATGGTCCTAAATTAAGGAATATGGGAAATCTGTCTTCAACAAATAGGAGTAGGAGAGGACGAAGCAGGAGGGGAAGGTCTCAGGCTGGAATCAGGGAAGTTTGTTAAAGGAATGGCCCAGGCAGAAAGCTGCAGGTGAGTATAATAAGACCAGGAACGAATGGGGGGGACACTGCTGCCTAGCAACAAGAAAATAACAAGGTAGTTAGAAGGACTCCAGTTAGAAGGATGCTAGCTAAGGCACATAGACAGACACTTTGGTAACTTACTATAATAAAACACACACCCCTTTTGATAAGAAAGCTTATTAGTATAAAATATGCAATTTATGAAGGAGGAGGAGAAAAGAAACTCATGTCAGGGAACCAATCTTAAATGTGTAAAATTTGTATTTGTAGATGGTTAGGGGTCTCGGCTTTTTTTAGTTGCTGGGATCCTTTTGCTGAAGTAGTTCAATTAAAGTTCTTTGAACCTCCTGTCTGGTTCTGATTGGGATCTGCTGAAGGCTAAACCCATTTTGCGGACAACAAGTAAAGTGATCTAAGGACTGCCAGGAAAGCGAAGGATCTGGATGCCTCCCCGCAACGATTCCTCCTGGCTGATTCCTACCTGGTATTCCTGGACAGCCTCCTCCGCAGGGATCACCGAGTGGCCCTTGTGCTCTTTGGATCGGTCGCAGACCCAGCAGATGAGGGTCTCGTGGTCCTTACAAAAGAGCTTGAGGGGCTCCCGGTGCTTCGGGCAGAAGCTCCCCCCTTCCTCGCCCCCAGGGCCTCCGCATCCCCTGGCCACTTCAGCCACCCGCGCCAGCTGCCGGTTGGGGAGGACGCTGCGGGGCGCGAAGGTCTGTCTGCA